GGCCGACGTATCTAGAGCAGACTGTATTTCCGGCGGATGTACGTAACGCTCGACCCCCGGACCACCCGTCTATCCCCCACCCACCCCATTTCCCCCCATTTCCAATGGGTTCGTTTTTTCGCCTCTTGTCCCCACTCACGCGGAACACATCATGTACTTGTAATACAATTTGTTTTATAAATACTTTGTCGGATCGTTGAGTCTGGGTTTGGTAAATAATTTCTAATAAATCGTTAAACACGTTTTCCCCCGCGATTTCTCAATTGAACATTAGGGATGATTGATATTTTGTAAGTTTTTATGATGGAATGATTATTTTATTATATTCGAAATATATCTTTGCTTTTATCTATATATATTAATGTATTATTCGAATTAATGTATTATACAATTCAAATAATTCGAAGTAATATATTATGGAATTAATGTAATATTAATATTACAAAGAAATTTGATTGTTTATTTGTAATGAATAAACTCATAAACTACTCAATAGATTTTAAAAATTCTTTTACATATAGAAAACTACATTATCACAGTAACACGGAACTAAGAGAGAGAGACTTTGTACAAAAGTCGCTTGCTTGGGTACCTTTGTCCCATTCGTGTTTCAATCGTGAAGCAGTTGTGTTTGTATGGCTGTGTTTCAGTTGAAAGAGCGGGATATGGCATGAATTTACAGGGTACAGAGGAATAACACCTGAGACTTCAGGAATGGCAACGCATGGGGGGATATCATGGGCGAAATAATTTTCGAAAATTCAATCTACCCGAACGGAAACGGGGCGGATCGCTGCTAATGCATGAAAATGGAATTATGAACTCACTCGCATCGTTCATTTAATCTCTCGTCGTACCAGTAAAGGATGATGAGTGAGGATGAAGTTAGGTCAGTTGCCCATCGTGACAATCCATCAGGAATTAAACACTGTGGTCTCTCCGGGGTAACCACGTACATCTACGTAGCTAGCTGGCAATATACCCTGTCAGGTTGATCTCAACTTATATAGCTAGCTATGGGGTCATCAGTCCCAATTACTAACAATCCCCTTTCTCCCATAATTATTACGCGAAAGAAGTTTTTAGAAGTTGATAAAGGGCTTACCTGTTAGTTAAAATTGCTGCTATATCACCGCGAAATACGTGCACATTATTCACCTTGTAAAAACCTTATCAAGCTTTCAATGAAGAACTCAATTGTGTAATCTCTTGGGAAAATTCCGTCAGATGGTTCATTCTGTAACTTTTATACATTATTTCGTAAACTTCTATAATATATGAGGAGGTGAGAATGTTAAGGAACCAACATGCTGTTACGATACGAGAGGGTGTAAAATATTCCCATGCATAAGTAATAAAAAAACTTTGTGTGAAATTTACAAGTATATATAATTAATTCTGAACTTGTATAAAAACATGGGTAAATTTATACTGAATATTATATTGATATTATAGTGAAATTTTAAATGTTCAATATGTTATTCGAAGTTTATATAAAATCACTATAAACTTACCAGAGGAAGACTTCGGAAGGTGTGTCGTCAGCTTGTTCGCCGTTTTAAGTTGTATAAAAAAAAAAAACTTATAATAATAATATTATTCTTATAATTTCTAAGAATAAAACAGACAATGTTTAGTTATAAAGCTGAACACTACCTGTTTTATTGTTGTTTTGTTAAATATTTATACATTTAAAAGAAAAGCAATGAAGTTGATATAGCAGGCAACAAAGTTTTTAAACGTGCATATGGATTTTATTTTTCATATATTTTGTAGTACTGAACCGTAAACAATTAAAGATTGTGTTCCATAAAAAAGACTTCAATTGTCATGAAATTAGTTATTTTAATTTTAAAATTAAATTACTGAACTGATTTTAATAAAATTTCTATAGGACTAATCTGTAAGTATATACTTTCGGATAAAAAATAATCTTCTAAATCGGTAAAAGACCTGACAGAGTTATGAGGTAATAAACTTAAATAAATTCAATCGAATTGAGAACCTCCTTTTTTTTAAATCGGTTGGAAATTAAATTAGTTACTGGCGATAGATATAGCTAGCAAAATAATATATAAAAATAATTACGAGTCGTGAGCATCAGATAAGGTAATGAGAAGGGTTACATCTACATCAAATATTTCATACCTTTGTCAACCACGTGTCACGGCGGCGGCGAGGTGTAGCCCGGCCGAGATTAATTCATTCATTTATGTATTATGTAGACATCTAGCAATAAAATATGTTATTACCAATATAGAATATATGAAAAGTAATATCTTGGTAAGCCTTTGCGTTTCCTCCGGAAATCGATTTCTGATATTCCTTCCTTCATATTATTATCTATAATGGAGCCTCACCCTACTCGATAGGAAGTTGGAATCGTATGGATCGAGAAGTCGCAGTACATAGGTTACAGTAAAATTTGGGTCGCAGTCGTAACAAAGAGTGAAAGGAAACAAAACCTGAAATTGGGTAATGTCAGCAACAGCGGGCCGTATTTTAATTTTGAAAGAAGAAGACGGACTCAATTTGTATGAACGAGTATTTTTTGTAAGCACATGTTACGCGATATGTTCGCACATTTTCCAGTATATTGCACCGATATTAATATTTATTTATTCTTTATTTCACAATAAAATTTGTACAAAAAGGGAGCTTAATGCTATATAGCATTCTCAACAAGCTGACCCTTAGGTAAAAACAGAAAGCATTTGGAGGCAGTGATGGTGAACATTTCTAATACATTATATATTTGTTTTTGTAAATTATATACATTTAAGCAACTTATTGCATTAATAAGCATATGAATACACATCAATAGACGAATAGAAATTTCATAAATTTTTATTACTACCTTTTTATTTTTGTCCTATATTTTGTTTCAATTAAAGTCGTTGTTTTTTTTTTAAACCCCTGCCAGAAGAGAAGATTCTCACTTTACCTTTATTTTTTTGTTTGTAAGAGATTTAGGTGATATTTTAGACTATACTAATATTACAATGAAGAAATTCAAATTTTTTTGTTTAATAAACTCAAAAACTATTTAACCGATTTTAAATATACTTTCACCTATGTATATAAAAAGCTACAGTATCAGCAAGGAATATATGTTATATATTATTTTCGGAAATTCTATTTATCCGTACGAAGTCGGGCTAGATCGCTAATCAATTATAAACAGACTTTGATAATTATTATTCCATTCCATTTGGTTTTTTTTGCGGAATAAAATCTTGAATGATTGTTCATAAGTTTTGAGATAGTCGAGACCCTTGTTCTTGAGTAGACGTGAATGCGAGTCTAATAGATTAACTGCGTGCTTTGACACACCGAGCACACGCTGTGAGCCCGCGACATTGTAAAAACAATAAATCAGCAGTTTACTTCGACGGCAGTAAGTATTTTTTTTTTATTTGGGGTAAAGTTGTCTCGTGGTTTCATTTTTATGGAACCATATTTCCATGGAACTTTCTAGATGCAATGTATGAAGGGTATTATGGATAATATATAACGTATTCCATGATCTTAAATAGTATTATTTAAAATCATTGCGACAGCCCATCAGTTTTTTCGTCTTTCCAGCAATTTTTGTTGTGTTCGATAGCATGAGCTCAACTGGAAACCCATTGGATTAAATAATTCAATCTGATTTTCATATTTGAATAATATTTCTATATAAAAAATTGGCTTGAACATCTTTAGTTTTATGCATTTTTATTTAGTATTTTTTACATTAATTTGAAAGTTGTTTCAATTTTTCTTACGGTACATAGGGAACTTTTGTGTAAAAAATCAAAATTTCTTTATACATTTATATATACAATCATAAACTTGACAAATATCGGTCTAAATTATTATTATTTCTGTTCGCAAAAATCAAGGAATATCAATATTAAAAGAAAAAATAAAATGTAAAATTGGTCTCGCATTTATCAATATTTAATAAATATTTAAATTTATTTAAAGACCGACTTTTAAAATGTAGCATCTTGAATATTCTATGAATTATAGAATTACATATTCTGTTTTCATTACTGTATATGCAAATTTAGTCTTAACTAACCTATCTTAATTAGTAAAGATCCGAATCTCTTCCATTTGTACTGAAATATAATTATTATATAGTTTGTTTCAATACAATTTAATGAAAATCTAAACAAACGAATAATTCATCAAACCATGGGGAAGCCTGGTGATGTCTAATAGTAGTATCGTACCGTGACAGACGGCAATTGTCTACTGCAGTACATAATAAAAATAAAATAGTAAATATAATAAATAATATCAGGGGTCGCCGACTTGACTAGACCCAAGATCTATTGTTTACTGACGAAACCCTGTGCGATCTACCAATTACATACTTCTTAAAATCTCCAATGAAACAACATAGTTCAGTAGATACACAATTATATAGTATTGTAGTATTTTTTTATATTATTAATAGGAAAATATAAAACTGACAATTATTTTTAGTAACTATTTATTATGTATGAGTATAGCGTAATTAGTAGTGAGTAAACCGTTAGATTACCAAAATATTATATTTTTTGTCTTGTCACGATAGACTGGATTTAATAGACGACGTGGTCGTGTCGTGGTCGACAGGTCGATCGCGATCGCAGTATGGCCACCGCTGACATACATATATGATGTCATAGTAGTAAAGATGCCATATAGTAGCAAAATCGATTAATTGATTGAATACTCCAATTTGTTACTAACTTCATTTAGACAGTGCTTCTGTGATAATCTTAACAAAACATGATAATCTTTTCAAATTTTTCATTAAAAGTGTATAGAAAAACATTATTAGATGCACGTATTCATAAATGAAATAATCATTTTTAAGCACATCTTAAGTATTTTTTTTTTCTTTACTTTTTAAGACAATCAATTGCTGTTGTGAACCGTACCACTAGCATGTAGCAGCAGGTTCTCATCTGATGCCCACGTCAATAATTGGAGCCGGTTGTTCATGTGTGTTTTTTTTTTTGCAGCTGTGCTCTCTCCCGGGCGGCATTGTTCGTGCTCGGCAGGCGCGCTCGCGGAACCGAACCCCACACCCCAGTCGCCGCCCCACGTAAAACGGTTCGTATTTTTCATTGTTGCTTTAAAGCCTTATAGGTTTTGCTTTATTTATGCCCTTTATAACTCTCCGTGGAAGATAAATGCCCGCGAGCGCGATGTTCTATTTTGTCGCGGTTTAATGGTTATGCTAAACGACGCAGCGTTTAATAGTTTATGCGTAAAGTTAAATGAAAATATTAAAAGGTAGGTTAGATTTATTGTCATATTTATTTTTTTATACCTGAAATAATTAAGCGTATTATGTATTACTAATATTAGGTATAAATGTCAAATGAGAAGTTTTTTACATATTAGCTTCTTAACGGCTTAAAATTGTCATGTTTAGTACGAGTATATGTGTTATTGTATAAGCCCGATCACTGGTAAATCTTAGGTTTAACTAGTAAATTTTAGGATTTACTATATAGGTGGTAAATGTAAGGGTTTTATAAAAAAAAGATTATTTTGGATACAAATACAGTGAGTTCGTAAAATTTTCATTGTGCATGTCTATAATATCGTTAAAAATGAACATAAATTTTAAAAATAAAAAATTATGTTAGTAAAGATAACCGACATTTAATATATCCGTTATTGGATCAATATACAAATAAATATTGTAATTACGATACATAGATATTGCTATATATTACCAATCCCAATGGATATTGATCACAATTATGTCCATGGGATTCACGGATACCGGCTTATCGCATCCTATTCAATACATCTGACAATTCTGATCAATCGAGTTTAAATTGATGATTGATTCATCAATAACTCACTTTATGAATTCCATTTTAAGATATTTACCTGTTGTTTGATAAAATTGAATAAAAACGATATTTCCGTTAATATTTTATCGGCGGCCAGCCGTGAATAATTAATTATATTTTTGTTTTTCCCTTATTGTCATTTTTTCATTCCACAAGATAAATAATGATATTTCTGCCATTGTCAGTTTTGATATTGAAATTAATTATTTACGATACATTTTAGAAGATTAAATTATTAAAACATTTTGTTAATAAAATTAATTATGTATAGATTACGTACGTACGCACATAGGCTACATTTTTTTAACGCGATCATCAAAGACGCGACCACAGATAGTATAGAATAAATATGGTTGCTACAAAATTTCAAAAACCTCGCAAAATCAATATGTGGGTTTTGCAAATTTATTATATTACAATATAATGTTTAAAGGTTTCTATTTTACTTGCGGTACATAAGGAACTATTGTGCAAAAGAAATATATAATTTCCCTATATTTATCATAATAACATCTACAGATTTAATTCAATAAAATATATTAATCGTTAAAATATGTTTTTTTTTCACACAATAAAATTTAGAAAGCATAACATTTTTATTATCTAATATATAAAATTCTCGTGTCGCGGTGTTTGTTACCAAACTCTTCTGAACCGGCTTTACCGATTTTAAGGAAATTTTGTGTGCATATTGGGTAGGTCTGAGAATCGGCCAACATTTATTTTACATACCCCTCAATGATAGGGGATTAGGGACCCACCCCTAAATATTTTATTTTTATTTTTTTGTAATTTTTTTTTATTTTTATTTTATTACGATTTAGCATTGAAAAATACATACAAAAAAAAATTTTCACGCTTATACGATCAACCCCTATTATTTAATCGCAATTTTTATATGCCACAATAGGTTTGCAAGATGACAATCGAATATAATAATTGTAGTATAATATATTTTCATGTATAGTTCTAGAAATAATGTATATGGTACAATAACGTTAACCGAGTCAGCTAGTTTAAGTATAAAGACATAATATCAAATTGTTGAGTGATTGAAAAAATTCAGAGCAAGCAGGAGTTGAACTTTACATCTTGTCAAGCTTAGTATGGTACTTATTAAGAGTTTAAATACGATGAAGTTTAAGTGTAAAAATTTAAATGTCGTAAAGTCTTTTATTTACTATTATAAGCAATAAATATATTTAAAATTCAGTAGGTTTGGTCAACTGGTCGCGAGGGTAAACAATTTTCGTCCGGAATTCAAGTTAGCTTGCTCGCTGAACGAGCTGAATTGAATTTAAAGCTCGCTTATGAAAGATTAATGTCTGCATTTACGATAATATTTTGAACGACACATGTTATAAATATTAAAATCGTGAGACGTAACATAAAATTGAATTTTAATATCAATTGTGAGGATTTCTGTGTTCTACAAATATTTTGGACGGTGTTCTTTTCACCTCCTCAATGGTGTAAAGAAAGAGGCGCAGCTCATGGATGCTGGCTGTATCAATTCAAATTGTCGATATTGAAAAACTCTCTCTGGTCTTTTTTTTCTTTTTTAACATTTCACTTTATTTCTTTACCACGCTGTACAATCAGCTGGATCTCCATCTTTATGTTGTAGACTAGCTTTTGACCACTACTTTATATGCGTCCATTTCAGAAGTAGGAAATTCAATTAAATGGTTTTATATTAATTTAATAGTTAATTTTAAGCTTTCGCGTTGTTTACACATATTTTAAATACACAATCGGGACTTAATGTGATGTACATTTATGGGTAAATAGTACCTACATACTAGCTTCTTTATTGCAACGTCAGCAATAAAGAAGCAAATATATAGGTACTATTTATCTGTAAAGGCTTTTACATCACGTTAAGTCCCGATTGTGTATTTAAGATAGTGGGTGTTTCAGTCTAAAAGTCTAAAAATTGCACCAGTAATGGAGAATTTGCGTATTAAGAGAATGTATTGGTATGGACATATTATGCGCAGAAATGAAAACCATGTTTTAAAGTAAGTGTTATGTATGTAAAGGATGTAAAGGAAAGGGACGACCGAAGAAAAGGTAAACGAACTGAGTAATGAAAATTATATGCAACAAAGAGGAGTGGGCCCGAAGTGGGACAGTTAATAGGGATTTGTGAAAGAAGAAGACATACTGAGCCGACTCCAAATAAATGGAAAAAGGCAAGGAAATGATGAGTGGGTGTTTCAGTTTTTATCTAATAGGTTATTTCTTTTTATTTTCACGCTGGTGAAAATAGAGGGCGCAGCTGGTGATTTATAAATAGATGACACATTTTTGTACCATATAATGTATTACGAATATATTGCACAGTAGCAGCTGGGATTTTCCTGGTGTATCAATATGTATGTAAGTGTCGGTCCGTGATAAATTGATGACAGTCTGTTATTGTTCGTTGGCCATCGATCATTATGGATCTGTTTTGACAATACACGATTGCAACAGGTTGTAATAATTTCCAATTATAAAACTTATGTAATATGAATACATACACATACGCACACAAATGCGCACGCACCCACGTACGGACTATGCCGGACCGTGCCGGACTATTTACACGTATATGAACTGATGATTCTGAATAAAATGTGGGGATTATAGATGTGATAAACTAGCGACAGGTACAAGTTTCGCGCGATTTTATTTTTTAAATAAATTATAACTCATATTACTTGCTTGTAATATAATCTATTAGACGTAAAATAATTTTTAAAATGATCAAATTAAAATGTGAATTGGTTCTTAAATTTATCCATTATATATATATATATATATATTGTGTCTGACGCATTTTAAAAAATATAAAACTGAAGATAAAAAAGCAGTTTATTCAATAACATTAGATTACAAAATATATAAAAGACAGACCAATATCTAGAGGTCTCAGGGGTAACCGACGTCTCACTATCGGGCAGAATATCCTTATTTATGGTTTTCGAGTAGGAAGAAATCAAATCTTTCTCTATTATGACATTAGTGCCAATGCAGATGCATGGATTTTACTGTGATTATACTGTGTTATCTCATTAGGCGTTGTTTCTCCAGAGGTTTAAATTGAAATATAAGAACAGTGTTATTTCATGAATTTAGCAATTAATTCTGGTTATATTCCAGCATAATTTTATATTTGAAAAATGAGAAAATATTACCAAAATTATATGTATTGTATTACAGCGCCATTGTTCTACATTTTTGGGGAGGGTTAAGTGGAAGAAAATTTTATATTGTGTTCCGGTGAATATATTTTACATTAAAATTAGCAATAATTATATTAAACTTTTATAATACAAAAAGAGAAATATTTACTCTCATTTAAAATTAGCCATATCCCGTGACTTTGTGTAGGTCAATCAGTTTATGCAGATGTAGGACAATCTTTGTGTAGGTTAATAAAGTATCCCAAATTTGACTACAGAAAGATTTGCTGGTTTTTAAAGCCATCTATCGTTATGTAGAGACTGTCATGTAATCGTTCGAACATGCCAAAATATATTGGACAATTGGTTGTCGTTTATACTGTAGCAATATGAATTCTAAGCAAATAATAAGTATATTAGCCTTTATTATGTCTGATATAAAATATTAGGGGTGCCCCAGTCGCCCGCTACTTTGGAAATATTGCATGTAGCGACAAAAAAAGGCGAGAACGACGTGGAAAATTGCACATTCCTCTGCTCATTCCCCACGAGGGTATAATACGAATATATCTACAAAGGCAAAGTATGAGGAAATATTTGTTATTTATGATACATATCTATGGTAGTGTTCTTTAGTTTCATTTTTTTTTCAATTTATAATAATTTTATGCAATGGTAACTCCATCTGCGGTATTTATATATATATAAATAAGTACACTATCGGGGTATTAGTGAAAGATGATAGGTGAATTTGAAAACCTATCGGAATGAACGAATCATGATGGTTTCCAGTAGATCCGAGTGGAGGTCGACCTGACAAGTTTTACGAATTGTATTGCTAGTCCTCAGTACTAACAATTCCTTCTCCCCCAGTTTCAAATTAAGTATAGGCACCCTCTATTTATAAATAACAAAAAATGTATTCCCTTACGAATTAATGTGTAAAACTGGTATGCCAGTAAATTTCAAACCACAAATTTGTCTGCACGTTTGGAACATTATTGATTGACCGGGATAAAAACTAGTCTATGTCCATCTCCACCCCATTAATTACGTGACTGATTGAGCCATCAGCTTGTTTACTACTCTTATCCTAAGTTCTATATATAATATATATAATGTCAAGAAATAAATACATACATTACCAGTGGGGAACTTTGTACAAAAGTTGTCTGTTTTTTAATGGATTTTTTTATACCACTGAGTTAGCAAACAAGCTTACAGCCCATACGAAAATATTCACTTACCGTAGCCTATAAACGCCTGCAATACCATAATGCTAATAATAAAATGGAGGATGAAACAGGTCAGTTGGGCTATGGTGACGATATCAACAAAAAGTCAACCACGATTTTTTCTAGGGCAAACCGCGTGAAGGTCGACTTGAGAGTGCATTGCTAGTAAGGAGGTTATTATTCCCTATTACTAACAAATTTTTCAATCCTAAGTCGTCTGTTATTGGTACCTCTAAACGAGTCGTGTTTACACTATGAAGCTTACTTAGCTGTATCAGGGTAAGGAGACATAATATTATAGTTGTCAGAAATGGTAACGTATGAGAGGTATCATGGAGTCACATGGTGTGATGCTCATGGTATTGTTCACCTCTATAGGTAATTGTTATTACTTGTCATCAGACGTAACGATTTGTTTGCCATTCAAAGTAGCATATAAAATGTACGCGTTTAGTACAGTATATACTTGTGTCTTACCTTTCAATGTATTGCAACATCAAAGCGAAATAGCAAATAATCAGTGTGTGATAAATTGCCGGCTCGACGCCATTAAGTATTCCATGGATTTCTCGCTGCGTCATCCATCATGCCTGTCGATATTTTGACGTCGTCTTATGAACAACACACAGTTGCTATTTGCCAAGTTAACAACAGAATTTATTATGGATATCGTGTTGTTTGCTAATGAAAAAATGGAAAGTAATATAGTTACTGTTAGAGGCAAACAAAATTATTTACATTTCAGTAAGTAGTAGTATTATTAGACAGAAAATGGTCATACAAATTTATTTTTCAACAATGTTATTAAATAATCTTATTGTATTACATTATACAAACAAAATTTGCCTAAATATGTATATAGTATATATTTGATTTAAGACTAACTGTATTGTGCAGCGTTATCCGAATAAGTATCTGATTTATTTATTTCTCAGTAGCTTTATGCTATTTACTTCTCACATGTAAGTTTCAGTTCGTTCACTGATCGATTTGAAAATTTATGCAAATGAATACGCTTAGCTTTTTAATACATTTATAGTTTTTATCTGTGACTTTGACTACGTGACCGGGATTACGATGATTACGTATGATAAAAAAGTATCTTGTCTTTTTCCATCCTAAATATAATAACAAAAAATAAACTCACTTTCATCATTTGTCATATATATATATATATATATATATATATCGGATTACTTATTATTATTACGAGTAGATGACGTTGTGTGTTTTTCAATGAAACATATAAAAATATAAATATGAATACTAGAAGTTATTATTATTTACTATAGTAAGTTTATAAAATTCCTTCTAAACATATATATAGAATAAATATTTTTTTATATATTTCGTGATGTATAAAAAGACGTAATTTATTTAGCAGAGTGAATTTTCTTAACAACAATAGCACTTTTTTATGGGAATATGTGTCGAACTAAAGGAGTTGTGAGGATTTGAAAGCGCTCTACAACAATGTCTCTTTGAGAGGCATACTTCAACTGGTATCCTTACGCTAGTACACATAAGGCTCTAAATTGGTGAAAATAGTGAAAAGTGAGTTGACCGCATCCAACGCAGTTCAAGATGATGCTTAAAGATGATGCTAAGAGGTACACGGTAGGTCCATTGTATGAAGAGAGAACGTATTGTGTTCAAAAAGTATACTTGGATACTTCATATTTTATAATGGTTGAGTGAGTGTACTATGTAATATGGATCTGCCAATATAAAATTTCCTCATACAGCGTTATTGACATACTGTATTTCAAATACTCGTATGTTTAAATTTTATATTTTTTTTTGTACTTTTTCTTGTGATAGGATTCTAAATGGGTCAAATAGTGCTTGAAGTAAATTATTATTATTATTGTAATAGTCAACATACTATATAGGACATATATTTGGTTAGTAGATTATAATAAAATGTTGTAATTTTTAGATCCGCAATCATGTGAAATGAAGTGGAATAGAAAAATTGTTAATACTTTCAGATCTCTTTAATAGGAATCCATTTAAAAGATAGGAGGAAAGATGATTATTGAATCTAAATATAGATTTTGATTGTGCTTTCAGGTGAACTGAGGTCAAACTTTTATTATATTGCAATAAATATTTTTAAACGACTCCAAAAGTGATTCTTAACCTTTTCAGTTTGACAGTATTTTTTGTATTTTGCACTATGTATTTGCTAATTTTAAGATATACAGTGATAAATGTAGATTTATCAATTTGTATACGTAAATACCAGTTAGACATTTTTGTTGTAAGAAAACTACGACCCAACAAAGAAAATGGTAAACAACACCTGCGCGACCCAGAATATATTATAACACTATCCCCTTATTTTTTTATCTGCAACGGTTGCCAACCAAACAGATATTTAAAATACTTATTGTTTTTTTGTACAGATGTCGACGGGTGGAGGGAGGCAGGAGCTACTACTACGAGGGAAAACTAGGTGAGTTTATAAGATTTATACCTGTGCCGAGAAAATATTGGCCAATCGTATAAAAGTGAGAAATGTAGTTAACTTTTACAATATAAGGTTATATTCTTATGAAATATGTAGTTACAATAATAATGTTGAGTCAGTAAAGAATGTACACGATTCGATCATGTTTTTGTCTTCTATCACTGAATCCTTCTCTATGTTGTAAAAATTCCACATCCGTACGAAACGGGTCTCTTCTTTCTCTTAACAAGCAACCTGCTAAGGCATGGAATTCTTTTCCTGTCTGTATGTTGCCGGTAAAATACCATATTTGCTTAAAATATTATATGTTGTTATATAGTTGCTATATATATAGCAAATATATAGCTATATATAAAATATATATCTATAAAAAGTGTGTGTACGTTATCTTTAGTACATTAATTTATAATTTACGTTTACATAGTAAATTATAATTATTAACTAGCGGCCTTTCAAACTTTCAACAAGATCAGTGGTTTCAGAGATTATTAGCTAGAAATAGTTTGAAACACAAAATGTAAGACTAAGTGAATTGTGTTGATTTCAGAACCAATGTACAATATTACATCAACAGCAGTTAAAATTGTCTATACAGGACTTCACTAATATGATCAATACCTATATTATTCATATTCCATTTAAGCAGACACTTAATATGTATGCAAATAGACATTATTAGTTGAAAATTAAATCATAAAAGAAAATGTATTTATCAGTAAAAAAATATTTATTTAATTTCAATGAAAAAAAAAACAATAGTAGAAAATGAAAAACAAAGGCATGTTCGTCTGGAATTGAAATAAAAATGAGTTGAAATAAAAAAAAAATATTATATCGCCGGCCTTCAATATTTCATAAAACCTGAACATTTTTAATTAAAATTCTCAAAATCAATATCGTATCTACGTACGTATATATAGAAACAATGTGGAAAATACAAATATATAGAATTACACATTCACAGTACGTTCGTACGACGCAATAAAACAATTTAAACAAGTTTATTTGTATGGTATTCGTTTCGAAACGTATCTCATTAAGTGTGTGCGATTGAAATAAATTGAATAGACTATTTGTCGAACACTTCGGTGGCGCACTTCCACCGCTCGATTTGATTCCTTTCCAAATTTAATTCCAATACGAGGTTGCTAAACGAATAGCACTTTTCTAGAATATATATATATGGCTCTGAAAAAGGTTAGGTACTTATTCAATTAATTGATGTCGTTTTTTGTAAAGCCAAGACCTACTGAATCGCTATTTGTAAAGTTAAATTTTCTTTTACCGCAAATTTATTTACAAATCGGTATTTCGAAATAATGGTTCGGCGAAAAACTTTAAGTAAACAATAATATAATTTAAGTTATAAATGGATATTTATTGATAGAATTAGAATTTATTTATTTATAGATAGAAAAAGAGCAACACGCAAGTTTCTTGCTCGTTCTTCTTGTGATGAGACAGCTTTCCGAACGAGCGGTAGATTAAAAAAAATGTAATGACTTTTCAAAAGTGCTTCAATGTAAGTTTATTTGAATAAATGATTTCTATTCTATTCTATTCTATTCTAATTAAAATGTTCTAATTACATACAAATTTCTAACTTTTTCTGTTAAGATTGGTAATTTACCTAATTACGATGAAATAAAAATTGGATTCTTTAACACAAAATGTGCTTATAGACATTTATACAGCTTAGGATATTATATATTGACGTGGGATCCCGGTGTAGAATCCCTTTCTTTCACTTAGGGGTCGTAAGAGATGACTAAGGGAAATTAACGACCAATGGATGGGCAGCAGTGTTCTTTTTAAAACATCACCAAGGCTAAACAGCGATTGGCCAACCTGCTTGCCAAGCGTGGCAACTATTGGCGAATTCCCCCCAATAAGAGAGGCCTATGTTTTAAGCAGTGGATAGTTAATGGCTGATGACATTCATTACGTCCTTTGTGTGTCATCATTTTGACGTATTTACTAAAATTATCATATATTGTAATATAATATCAAAGTCATGTTTTTGCAAGAAGCTGGAAAATTGTCCATAGTAATTGATAGGTTTTTGATTGCTGTAAAATCTCATACAATTAATCTAATTTTTCAATCTATTTCCACGTAGTATAATTTTCAATCTACCTTGTATACTGGTTTTATTTTAGTCCAGTAACATATTAGAAATATTACGTAAAATTTAACAGCCAGTGATCTCTTTTACAATAGATTTAAAAAAAAAGGATCTTAATTTGATTTTTGTTGTGTAATACGCGATAGTTTTAGTAATTAAAAAAAAACAGATTTTGATGATCCTTTACTTCAATTAAAGTTTTATTGGTCGCATATAAAAATGAACAAAATTATTGAGAAGTTACTGCTTGTTGAATAAAATAAAGTAACTATTTATGTCGACTTTAATCATGTTTTAAATTTGGAAATGACCGGCTAGTTTTGAACTCAATAGGAGCCCTTATTCATGAGTGCGCTTCTAATTTAAAACGTATAGATATATAAATAATTACAACACAAAATGATTCACGACAGTTATTATTGAACGAAATAAAAATATGTTCACGATTATAATTCATAATGAAGCATACAGAGGCGTTTACCAACTGTTAAAATTGACTACAATAAATTTAATTATTATAATAATAATTCTATAGACTAAATCACTAAAATGGTAAATATGTATAAAAAATAGAATGCACATAAATTAAACAACTACCTTATCTGAATTCTAGAAATAAATAAAACCAGAAATGTATGTCTTTATGTCATGTAACTGGCAAGGAGAAACGTGCCGCCATTTTTAGACTAACGGGTTTACTTCCGTATTACTACGGATTCATTAAAATTAAAGCCGGTTTTTTTTGTTGAACATAATGAATGAATAAATGAATGAAACTTTACTGTTCCCTTCAAAGAATGACTTAGACTTATAAAGATTAATAATGTATACACAAACAAAATTAATATTAAATTACATAAACTTAATTATATAAAAGCAAGATAAAGAGGCAACAATGGGCGGTCTTATCGCTAAATAGCGATCTCTTCCAGGCAACCTTACAATGGAGAGGAATAATTAAAATTGTTCATAATTTAAATAATCTTAATTATATAGGGTGAAACCGAAATCGATAGCTGTACATAAGACAAAGAATTTACTCACATAGTTGAACACATCGGAATAGAAATGTTGAGAATCAATAATAAAAAAAAGTGAATTCAAAATACAAAAACTGTGAGTTTCTTACAATAATCAACTAAATTTGCCATGTTAGTATTCGAGGTTGAAAACTTTTTGTAGTTTTTCAATCTATGTTTTTTTGGTGAAAATGCTTAGTTTAACTGGTAGTACACTCTCTAAATATGCTAACGATTTCGATTTCACTCTCTATAGTTATACTACTTTTACACCCAATTTAATCCGCGTGACAGAGTTATATTGATTGACTGGGATAAAAACTAGATCATGTCCTTCATTCGTGCATTCTAAATTTTCAAATACTACGTCAATGCCAATAGTTGTGATTATTGGTTGACAAGTTTTACCAAAATGTAACGGAAAAATTAACAAACTCGTAGTAACAAATATTAGGACGATTTTTTATTAACTGAACGAACAATCTTTATAGAATGAGTTAAGCACAAGCGTTCGATTCACAATTCACTTTAGGAATGCTCCCAACTTAAAATAAAGGAGCAACAATAGGGCATAATATAAAAATAAATAGTTTCACACGGGACGTCATTATTATAAACAACCGAGTAATAACAAATACGTAGAAGAAACACTAATAGGTAAATTTTATTTTTTTGTCAGGCGATTAATACGTACACATCTTATTTTACTTAATACCGACATATTTAAAAATAGGAAAGTTTTAAATTAAGTAGGTAGATACAAAAGTAATAAGATCATATTCACAGACTAAAAGAGTGGCTTATTTGAATTTCAGAAATAAATAAAACCGTAAATCTATGTCTTCGTGTCATATAAGCGGCAAGGAATAACGACAGCCGCCGTCAGGGTTGACGAGGGTACGCAGAGTGTCTATATTGGGCTCTGACGTGACGCTCGATCGGATAATAGGCCAAAAGTTGATCGCCACTGACAGCCGAATTATCGACGCCAACTCTATACGAAAACCGATTTTTTAAGGTTTATTTTAGGGTTGTTCATAAAAAAGGAATTTTTAATATGAGAATTCCTGAAGTCGTAGCTCAAGTCTCATAAGTGGTATATGAATGTAGATCGTCTATCGTTCTTTTTGGGTTCCGTGAATCATATAATAATTGTCGTCCATTTGAAAATTATTCAATCATTTAATAATTTATTGGTAAATGATTTTCATATTTTAACAATATTTCTATTTAAACAGAACAGCGTGGGATTTTTCAAAAAAGATGTAAAGAGATTTCTTCAGGGTCAGCAACGCGCATATAATGCCTGTAGTATTGCACGCGTTCATAGGTTACGATAACCGCTTACCATGAGGTGGGCCATATGTTTGTTTGTCACCTCAGTGGCATAAAAAAAAAGAACTTATATTATTATTATGTTCATTTGTTTGATTTTCGTAGTGCCATCGTATAATGATCAAAATTTATAAAAAATTGTAGGAAGACTCTAAAAAATAAAAAATAGTATGTAGTTGAATTTTTATAGACAAATTATGTACATCGTGATATATCAAATGAAGTATCGTTCGAATTCCCTAAATTTTTTAATAAAGTACCATTTTCACAAGATACGAGCTTCCAAAATGCCTAAAATTTAAAACAGTCTGTTCTCTTAATTCATGCTTTTATAAATAGGTACTTTTAAAATCATTCTGATGGCTATATGTATGTACATGGATGGACATATGTATATATGGATTAAATTGAATTCGTTAAAATACCTGGGGCAGAGACAACATAGTACTAATCTGTGGGAGGAAATCCAAATACAAATCTCTCTCTTTGGTTAAAATAACATTAATCTTGTTTCGGTTTCATGGATTTTTTTATTTATTTCACATGAACCTTAATATTAAACTAATCTAGATATTTCCCATGGCTTTATCCATAATAAAAATTAAATAGAATGTTATGTCAGGTATATTTTGCCTAGGTAGGTATGTATCAAATTTTATTCATATCCATTCAGCAGAGTAACCGTAAGTAACAAACATACATTAAACAAACCCCGTGGCGTAGCGGTGAGCATGTTGCTTCGCATAATTGTGGGCACAGGTTCGACTCTTAGTCGGGCCAATTTAGCTTTTTTGAATTGGCTTAGGTCTAGATATCCTGGGTTGTGCCCCCAGATGTTTGTTTCTTGGTTTCTTATAACAAAGAGTATCCTAGTTTGAGGCCCAGGCGACGAAGTTATTGTGTGGCATTTAGTATTATTTTTTCAAATTTACATCTCCTCTCTTAAGAAAAAGAGGTGGCAAACTAATACGGTGTACATATGTATATTATTGAGCAAATCAATGTTACATTTTCATATTAACATTTTCTCCTTCTTGTATTACGCATTTTCTTTTGTAATATTCATATTTTCTCCGCAGGTGCAAACAAACCAAACGTTCATACGTGGACGGTGATAAAGGATAAAAGAAAAGTGACTACACTTTATGAATGCCACGAGAAAACTCAAGGACAAAACGTCGACATACCGAAGTCATTAAGGTAATGTCTACGTAATTACAACAAAGCTTTTTGTATAGTGATTAAGTCTTTTCAATTTATGTTACAAATTACTATAATTTACTCACAATCATTCAACAGCAATAATGTTGTTATAAGTAGTAAATAACTTTTAAGCATACATAAGCGGTATATTATATATTATAAACTAGGTGTTGTCTGTGGCTTCGCTCACACGAAATAATTAAGGAATAAATGATTGAATGGATGTTTGTGATTTTCAAAGTAATACATTTTATTGTAATTATAAACGTATATACTCGGGGGAAAGGAATTGTTAGTAATGGAGACTGAGAATCCTATTTGCTAGCAATATACCCAACCAGGTCGACCTCCTCGCGGTTCTCCCTGGAAACTATCATGATTAATTCCTGATGAATTCATCATGATGGGCTAACTGGCCTGTTTTCATTCTCATCTATCACCCGTCACTGGTGCTCCGCCAGCGTATCCCGTTAGCGCAAGCGGGGTTACCATACCATTTTCACCCATAAAAAAAAAAAAACAGTATATACTCGTAGCTATGTTTATTTGAAATTTTAAATTAATGATTATTGTTTTAGTAATTTGAAAAATCTGTAGTTTGAATTAATATATTTTATAGTGTCTTAAATGGGTTGAATCAAAATTTATTATATACACGTCTGTAGCTGTAAATGCTTTAGAATGTGTATACGAATTTATTTATTGATTTTGTCTATATAAATTCTTTAAAACAAAAATATAAAAATTGCCACGCCTTTTCTCGTCTGAGGGGTGGAAAACTTAGAAATATGTGTTTATTAGTTCAATCAAGAAGAAACACATATAGTAAATTTCAAGTAGATTAGACCATTTTGTTTTATTATTTATACTAATGTTTCCACTCCATTTCTCCCGTTTGTGTTTTCCTATTCCAAATATAACTAAATACGCATGTATTTATTTCTGTTGAAAAATTTTAACATTAGATGACATAATCTTTTTATGGTGCATGTATGAGACATTGTCCTCTTGGTTTTTTTTTCATGTAGCTTTATAGCATAATACATTCCTGTATAGTAGTATGCTCCCAATTCTTTTGAATTCAAATCCGGCCGACGATAAAAATATTTTAATTTCAATGTTCGCCTCATGGATGGAAATGCAAGCATGCTCGGAAATTTGAAAAGAGTTATTTACTTTTGCAAATTTCCAATTCAATTGTTCGACACCTGCGTGACATGATAAATTATAACCAATGAAGTCATACACAGTACCGGATTTTGATTAATTGATGAATATTTAATTTCATGGACTATAAGTATTGGTTAATTATTCATTTATTTATAATAATACCATAAAGTGCTTGCACTTTTTTTTGTTTGTTTGGAAGGCGTTGATCTTTGGAACTTCCAAAGATTAATGCGTTAAAATAAATGAATCCAGACTGGAACTACCACTCGGATTTGAAAAATTCTTTTTGCATTTGATAGCGTATTTCTTGAAAAAGATTATAGGCTATTCAACGTTACGGTAAGACTACGAGCGAAGTTGCGGCATACAAATAGCAATTTAGAAAGTTATAATTATATCTGTAGTGTACTCGTATATTTTTATAAGCATTTGGTTGGTACTTTTTCACACAGAGTCGACTTTTTGTGAAGAAAACCTTCCAAAAATTACCCAAAAATTAATCGTATACGTGCCTAAATAACATATACGTGTATTGCACAAAGATATATCTATCTATATATATAAAAATTAATGCCACTTTTCGTTGTAATTTTTTTTAACCAAATGTTTAGACTTTGTTCGGACTAGTTTTTGTGTCAAATTCAAACTTTTTTAAGATGGATGGGGATTGTGCTGTCAAATTGAAACTTTTTCAGTGTTGACAGTACAAGCATGTTGTTATGTCATTCATGCGGTCATTAAATTTTTTTTTATTATTTCACTTTATACATAGCGAAGCACGTACCGGGCTGCTAGTTATATATAAAAGAAACTAAACAAAATGTCACTAATCCAGTTTGCGAGTTAGATTAGTTTTCCCAAAATAACCCTTTCAAGGAAGTTAAACTATATATTGTTGTTTTCATTTCCTTAAAAAGAAACAAGGGTCGAAATACGTCAAAAATGTTGAACCCCGCGTATTAACCAACAAACACTGCGCATTCATCTGTCAACTTAGGTATATTCTGCGTATTGGAGTATGTTACGAGTGACAGCTGACATTTTGACAGTGTTTTTTTTTTAAATAACTGCATAGAGTAATACTTTGATGTTTTCTGGGAAAAAATGTTAAATTCATAACTTAGATTTGAATATCTTTTTTATTCAATTAATCATTGCACTATGTAGATAATGAGATATTTAAAATTTTAAGAAAATAATCATATAACATGTATAATAATACATCATATTATATTTTTTATGTAAAATTGAATGGCAAACAAGCTGACGATCCATTTGTTGAAAAGTGGTAACCGGATAGACAGGAACAGCACCATGGGTGTCATAGAAAACACTGTGATAATTCCGTGAGTTGCCATTTTTGAGAGCTAATGTCTATAGAACTAGTCAAGGATCCAGAGTCTAATTTTTCTCTCATATTCCACATACACAATGAAAAGATATCAATGTCAGGAATATTCAATAAGAAATTAATTATTAAGCAACTTTTTCATACACGTATTTGATCAATGTTTATGATTTTACTTTAAAAATATTTTAATACGAACTTTTATTATTTACAGCACAAGTTCCCCCATTAACGTCAGCGAAGACGTATCACGGAGTCAGAATATGAGTAAGTTAACATTCTGATACAAAGTTTGTTTTATATATCTTTATATCATCATGTTGCCTCGAGCCATAATAAAAACTCCGGACGTAACATTAATGCTACCTGGCGGAATGGAAAAATTGATTTTTCTTTTGAAAATATCCCTGACTTGCACAACCAGCCATAACTTTTGTATTAACGTTGTGGAGTACAATTTGAATATAGACTAAACACTCTAAAATTTATAAACTACATTTTGTACTACAAATAATTTAAAATTGAGTTTTATAAAAGAGACTTCATTTATGGCAAAATGATGTATTCTGATTTCAAAATGAATCTACTGGATCGATTATGAAAAAAAATTCTAAGAGATCAATCTTTAAGGTACATACTTTCAGATACAAAATAATTTTCGAAATCGATTTATAACTGTTAGAGGTACAAACATAGAAAAATATCATTTGTATAATAAATGAAATATAATGTATGTCGAGAATACTTGGTTCAGAATTGATAAAACTATCATGTATTGAAAGTACAGTCGATTTTATTACCTTCTACTTTTGAAAGTCTTAAAAAGAAAATAAATTGCTATGTTGGTTGAGTCATATCTTAGTAACAGAATATTCACAGCTAATTTGAATAGAGTCGGCACCTTCCATTGTATAGATAGAGTATATTCATACAAATGCTCCTCCAAAAACAGGTCACCCATATTAACCATGTACGTGTGTATTGGGTTAGCAGTATGTACAGTTAATATGTGGGAGAAATTTATATTACAGGAAAAGTTAAATTGACAAATAAAAACAATATACATTTTTTATAATGATCTTTTTTTACTGAAATTTATATTTGAGAATAGGCATGTAATATGTTTTGATAAATATTTGAAAATGGTCGCCATTTTAATTAATATATATTAATTTACATTTCAATAACACGCGTATATGTATATTATATCAGAAGAAAATAATTAATAATTCAAACTTAAATCGACCTATTCTGAGAAATTTTTAATCCTAATTTGAATTAAAAAATTTCCAGTTTGCAACACTAGAAAAAGTGTGTTTTGTGATAATTAAAAAAAAGTCAGCTAAATGTCAAATTAACTTAGTAAATAAACTGACAAAATTTTGGCATATTGTTGATTTTTATAGCAATATCTATATAATTCAAGATTGGTGCTTCGTAATTTTCAAGTAACCTCAAAAACGAGGCTTTCAATTCGTCAAAATATTTTGTTATGGCTATGTTCTGAATTCAAATAGGTATTCTAAATTTGATGCGTCTATGAAATATACCGTCATTCATTATCATTTACACGCGCGTTCACAATTGAAGTTACCTTTTTTTAGGAAAATGTACTTTCTTTTCAAATAATAACAAAAAATTGACGCTGTGAGAAAGGAAATAAGTATTATGGAGAGGTTTCACTACGGCCACCACAATACGACAAATTACCGGCCTAATTCGATCCATTGCCCCCTAATGTAGGTTCATAAAACATCTTGTTTGTGTGGCCTCAAGTACAATGGGCAGGCAAGAGCCGGCCGTAGCATTAGGGTGGGATCCCGCAATTCGCCTCACTTTGTCTCCATTGCTGACTGTCTCCGGCCCACGACAAATGAGAGATGAATACATAAGCTACGTTTTTCATTGTTTGTATTATCATTTGTTACTGTTGTTTTAGGTGTAATATTATTGTCCTTTTCAAATTATTCCATCAAATTGGAATGAAACGTGTTATTTAGATGTTTTTGTTTTAATGCCTATTGAAAGTTGTGATTTTGAATAAAATTATTAACATTAACAATATTTTAATAGTTACTCAGGTACTACAGTACAGCGGAGACTTATGTTTCTTAACAAAAATATTGAACTTGAATAACTATTATTTAGACTTCAAAAAACAGAAAAATTTAGGCCTAAACTTTGCTTTATTACGAGTATTTTGATAGAAGGTACACACGAATAATATTAGAACTATGTCTGGTATAAGAACTATAAGTTTCAATTTACACAATAAAGGATTACTTAGATTACACAGTTATTTTAGACATAGTATGTTTAAATAAACATAAATATTGTTAACTGGGATTTAAAGAGTACCGTTGAGTTACTTGCGGGCTCTACTCAGCAAATAACAAATTCCGAACCCAGCATTAGAGTCACAGAAGATGAAAATTTATAGGAGTTTTGTAAACAAATCTATTTTAATGAAAATTTTTTTTAATTGGAATTCACTTAATTTTTTTCCAAAAAAGAACTGGGGGCCTACCATGAAATGTTTTCCGAAACTTTGGGACCGAACGAAATAAAAAATTGATGTTAAAATTACATAATACATGCCGTTTGGAAATATTAAAAATGTTAAAATGTCGTTCCTTTGGACTTATGTTAGGATGTACGATGAAAGAAATAACATTTCGTTCATCTCTCCTCCATTTATTGGTCCGATTTTAGTATAAACAAAAATACGAAATTGAGTCCGAAAATTCGGAATTTCATTTCATGGTAGATCCGCTGATTCTATTTTTTACGAAATTAAAAATTGTCATGGAAAGAAGAAAATGGAACGTACAGGGAAAAAAATTATCTAAATAAGTCTACAGAAATACTTTTTGAATTACTTGCCTAAATTTTTAGTATGAACTTATTAGGTATTGTAATCTTAAAATCAAATTGCATAGCATATCAGCCGTTAATTCTCCACTGCTGCTGTGAGACCTCCCTTTATTTAGGAATTTTGCCAGTAGTTGTTACGGTTAGCAGGCGGGTTGGCAACTGCAGTTAAGTCTTTAGGACATTTTAAGAGGGATGCTACTGCTTATCCCTCTCCCATTAGTTCTCTTAGTCACCTCTTACGGCACCCATGGAGAAGGAAGGGGTGGCCTATTTTTAAAATCAAATATATTTAAGTAATTATAAAATATTATAAGTACATAATAAAATTAACAATAATATTATAATAATATATTATACGAAGAACTATTACAATACCTTTTCTATTAAAATTAGGGTATTATAAAAAAAAAAATATTAATGCAATAGCAGATAAAAAAGCACTATACGTAAAATGTTCTCGCCTGCTGTTTAAAAGAAAACTGCATTCCAATTTTGTTCGTTCCTAAGGTTTTCTAGTTTTCAAAGAGAGAAATATTACGCTCCGTCTTTTATTTGTACAACACGAGTAATTCTCGGGGGTTTTGTCTTGCGGGAACACATTCTATAAATGGGAAGATGCCGACATTCAAAGCTGCACGCTTCATTTTAAATTCACCAAGAGTGGCCAGTCCGTTCGCAGTAAAAACTCATGTGGGTTCGCCAACTAATGGACTTTTTAAGCGTGTTGTTTTTTATTCGTTCCCTATTACATTTACATTTGGGGGTTCGAATCCCAGCCAAATATTCAGATCACACGACACACTATACGACTCACTAGTGGTGTGCTGAGTTAAATTAAATCGAGTATTCACTCGAGTAATACCTAAATCGAGTACACGATAAACAAAATTAGAATAAACGTACTCGAATACAGGTTTCGAGTACGAGTACTTACGATATTCAAATACTAGTCGCATGTTCATTATTAATTTTTGTTTCTAATATATTTTTTTTCTTGATTACTAAAAGAAAAAATATTTTTAAAATTATTATCATTTTCGTTCAAAATAAACTCCACATATTAATAAAAAAAATAAGTACACGGGTTTATTGAAGTATTTGAATAAACGAATTTTGAAACTCGAGTCAAAATATTTGAATATAAAAAAATCGACTCGCACATCACTATTCTAAACTACATTCTGTTAAGATTACTTTTAATTTCGCTCTTGGGACACTAAAACTATTTCGTACTTGAGTTTACTCCGAGATCACGCTACTCCAGTGCGATTTATTGCGAAACTTAGCCACTCTCAGTCTTGTTCTAAAATTGTGCTTATTGAGTTTCTTTTCGCAAACCGAGACTTTTTATATTTCAGTTAGGAGGAAGTCTGGCGTAAACAGTTCTCTTATGTTAGTAATAATATTGTAGCCATTCTTGACTATTTATCAGAAAGTTTAGAAGTGCCAATAACATGAAACTCTTGAAAATTAGTAAGGTTTCCTTCGGTTAAGAGATAATTTGTAATATCTGCTTATATGATTCGAACATAGGTATAATTTAAATAGTAAATTGTGAAACAGATGACCTGTTGATGAATAAGTGAATTCTTATAAGGTAAATATGAAGAACAACGTGAAACGACTAAGGAAATAAAATATATCAGTGAAAGAGAAGGAAAGCTCGAAATACACTTCACTCATTACTGTTAAGTATGCGAACATCCGTAAAATGTCATAACACAAAAAGATTTTTCTTTTTTTTTTTATTTAATCTTTTCAAAGACCAGTACGTAGCATCTATAAAAAAGTTCATGCGTCTCAACTTATTTTGTTATACTTTTCTAGTCTGCCTAGGAATAGCCGCTCGAATGCTGCTATACGAATAGAAATTAGAATAAGAGTAAAAAAAAAAGAATAGCGGGAATTAAATTCTCATACCGAGGGTTCTGTACATAAAATAAATTCATAAATAAGTTACTGGTTTTTTAGATGAAAATTTATTAAAATTACGTAGATATGAAATAATTACTATTTAGAGATGTTCATAACATCATCATCACATCAGCCTTCAACTGTCCACCGCTGAACATAGTCCTCCCCTTGGAGTGATTTTGCCAGTAGTTGCCACGCTTGGCAGGCGGATTGCCAACCACAGAAAGGCTTTTGAGATGTTTTAAGAGAGATGCTGCTGCTCGGGATAGGGTACTTATGCCTATATAATTAATAAATATAGGCGTGTGATCCCGGCGAAGAATGGGCCACCCCTTCCTTTCCTGTGGGTATTGTGATTGGCGACTAAATTAATATAATAGTCATCAGTGAAACCTAACTACGGTTACCACCTGTCAAGTGTGGCAACTACTAGAAAAACCTCCCAAGAAAAAGACTTATATTCAGCAATCACAGCAGTAGGACAGTTAACAGCTGATATCATGATACCAAAATGAGGACGATTTAATTTTAACAAACGCATTTTGAATATTCCATATCTCATAATGTTAATCGTATTTCATCATCATCTCAGCTGTCATCTGCTCATTGATGAACATCGGCCGCCCCCATAGACTGCCATAAGGAACGCTGCTGAGCCACCTGCATCTACTCCCACAATTGTATATACCTGCAAACAATAAAATGATATTAAAGAGAACTTATAACTCATTTATAAACACTATACAACACTTATAAACTTTCTCTGTGTGCCGAGTTCCAGGCACTGGTGTGTCTACTAGTCGCCTGACAAGGCACTAGTAGCTGATATCCATACTCTTTATTATTTTAGGTCTTAATTAAAAAAAAAAAACCATTTCTTTTACGTTGTATGCCGACAAAAGCAGATTCATCATGCCCCCACAGACTATGGTACAATGTCTCCTCAATTCAAATAGATTGCATCCTTGTGTATATTCAACAACAGCGGGCGGCGCATTCCACGGTTTCATGGCAAAGCTTTGAAGGGATGAGACAGTGAGACTCATTCCCGCATTTAAAAGCAAGACAGTAATTTCACAGGCCTTTGTCTCGGCCGCAGCGCGTCGGCTTACAGGAAAATATGCGCATTCGAAATGGATTTTTATCGTTTTTCAAGTGGGCAGGCTTTAGTTGCCTAGCCTTTTATATTTTAATGGCCCATTTTCTATGCCATTACTGAATAAGGTCTAGTGATTATAGGGTTTTGATATTCTATAGCCGTTTGGAGGTTTTGTGTGTTAATTTAGCAAAAAAATAATACAGGCATAGGTAATTTCGGTAAGGATATTTTACCAACTGTTTTTTTTTTCAATCAACTTTAAAAATGAAAAAGGTTCTCAAATAGGTTATATGTTTTTAATTTGTTACTTCATAACTCCATTGTTTATAAACCGATTTGTATTTTCTTTTATCTGAAAGGATATACTTTCAGATTAGTGCCATAGCCTTTTTATCAAAATTGATTTAGTGGTTTATTTTTTAAATTAAAATAATATCATCTTAAATAATTTGTATTCTACGATATATTTATCAATTATTAATTGATTGCGATAACTCTTTTATTGTAAATTTATTATTTTAGCCCATATTATCAAAATATTATTTCAAATAGCTAAATAAAAATGTTTGGGAAATAAATATTAAATTTATATACAAATGTAACCATATAAATACTAAGAAGTAACTTTCGGTTTGTAAATTAGTAGAGTTAAAAATTATTACCTCCATTTTACGAGTATATTAGTTCACGCTGCATAATTTTGGTCAAATCTCAAACTTGCAAAACGACGTTCATGGAGATATCTAGGATTAACTATATAGTTATCTACATTCTGACAGTTTATGAGTTAAACCTTGCATTTTTCGCTTTTTCGAAATTGATTTTGACATTTATGTAACTTGACATTCGATTTTATAAAGTTTGTTTAACAATACCTTTATAAGGATTGGTCAATATTATACAGCGTTATTAAAAACTTAAAACATCACTAAAAGTCTATCTGCGGTTGCCAAGTGTGGCAACTACTGGAAAAATCATCTCCCTAGTAAGGGAGGTCTATGTTCAACAGTGGACAGATAATGGTTGACATGAATATGAATGAAAATATAGCATTATCAAAAATTAAAATTGTCTCTACAGTTATATTTGTATTTAAAATAAAAAATCAAATACTGCTGAATAACAAATAGTTTAAATTCAAGCGGATATTTTAAAAATAAATATAAAAATATAATCTGGGTTTTTTAAATTTTAAAATAGACTTTATGTTATTTAAATTTACTTTCGAGCTCTAATATTAAAAATTATCTATCTCTGTGTCACTAACACAGACAAACGCAAAGAAACATGTAACTGTTTCATTATCTCCCAATTGATTGTCATCATTAATGGACAATTTATTTCGTTAAGTACCTACCAATAGTTTATCCTACGTATGACCTTATTCGAATGAAGCGCATGACTAGGTCACTGTACTCTTGGAAAGTTCACAGTATTGATTTTATTGCGCGCGCCCGAAAATATAAATGGAATTTGCTTTCATACTGTACCCCTAGCCATATTCAGCGCATACATAAACACCCACACACAAACATATAAAGTTAATAAAACATTTCCAATATGCGACCCGTAAAATTGTATCCCTTTTCGAACAAACGTACACGGGAGGAAGTGCTAATCCTAAATTGAATTAGCCTAATGAAACGCCACCGATATTTTGTCAACAAGTCTTTGTTTGAGATACTAATGAATTAAATTCAGTTATCGACATATTTTCATTGCAGCAGTAAGTCTATGCTCATCGCCTGTGAGCTTGAGCTCACAGGCGATGAGCATAGACTTAAAGACTCGATGTCTTTAAGTCTATGGTGAGACTTTGCCTCACTTTGTGACATTTTTCAAAATATCGTTATACAAATGGAATAACACCAATTGTATAACGGTGCCTATAGTCACTTTTTATCATCGCACCGCTCACATGCTTGCATCTAAATGGTCACGTACAATGCAGTTTCTAAGGAATTTTCTCCCGCGAACGTTTAGACTGTGGAATGAGCTCCCTGTCGAAGTTTTCCCTAGAGACTGTGCGGTTGTTATAAAAAATGTACATTAAGGTTCCTTCAAGGTTAGCAGCGAGCATTTGACACCCTTAGTGTTGCAGACGTCTATAAGCTTCTCGTACAGTGACCGTTTACCATCAGACGGACTGTATGCTTGTTTGCTACTATAAAACAGTATTATAAAAACAGTATTGTAGTATAAAAACTGTTTATTAAACTAATTCCTTCTCTGTTCACAGAATACATCAAGATAGTAGAAGAGAAGAATGGATTTACATGCGAAACTTCAATGAAGTGCAAATTCATCGAAACGGGACAACAGTGAGTAACACCTTTTGCATACAAAGAACATTTGATTACACAAGAGTACGTAAAAGGCGGCTGACATTTGTTTTGAGCAGATTAAAGTTTATCCTTCGTTTCCAACTCGACATTTCCCCATAAAGGAAAGCTCAGACAGTCATAACATCGAGTTTGTCAGGACCGGGTTGTAGCATTTTGTGTCTTATCAGGATAGTATTAAACTGGAGTTTGCATTGTGGGGTGGGGTAACGTCGCGACATCCTCGTTACGTAATTACTTTAGATGCTCGACGCCGGCAAGGCCGACGACCCCAGCTCGACTTTGACCCACTTCTTACTCTAATTTTCGCATCTCACCCACCCAGTAGACAACTTTATCTGTGCCTTATAACTTTGCGTAAAGCCATTACCCGAACTAATAATCTGTAATAGGCACGTTAAGTCGTATAAAGTTATTTGTGGTAAATATGTTTTATTACTAATATAGTTATAATTACACTGCATATATTATATGGCTGATGAATGGATAATAAAACAGATAAATATATAATATGAAAGTGGAAAGCCTAGTTAGTTTAGGCTTCTAGATAATACCTAGATAAACAGTTAAAAAAACAAATCAAGTGTTTCCGAAATCGGTGCATAGTACGTGTAGGTTTATAAACATATAATTTTAGAGGTTTTATTATGACCAGCCAATAATTTACGTCAAAGATTATCTAATTGTTGAGTTGCTAGACTCAAAAATATCCAATATTTTTTAAACCAGCAACTGGAGACAAACTAAAAATAAAATGTCCTTTGCCAATGACATATACCACACTATATCAGCCGTTTATTGTCCATTGCTGAATACAAACCTCCCTCTATTAGAAGAATTTTGTCAGTAGTTGCCACGCTTGGCAGGCGGATTGACAACCGCAGTTAGGCTTTGATGATGTTTTAAGAGGGACGCTTTTGCCCATCTGTCAACCATTAAATTCCTTTAATCAACTCTTACGACACCCACGAGAAAGGAAGGGGTGGCACATTCTATGCCGAGGCCATACGGCCAAAACTAAAACATTTGCTTTCTTATTTAAATTGTTCGCAATGTGTCATGTTTTAACATGTAGGTATGTTTATACTTTCTAATACGAGCTCCCACTAAAAGTAAGCTCGATATAATGTTTTCTTTCCATTACTTGATTTGGAGGGAGTTTCGGTTAGGGCTGAATAAAACAACATAATGTGGCGAAGGGAAAAGGGTTCTATTTTCATAATAGACTATTTCCATGAGTTATGGTTCGACTATTAGACTTTTGTATTTTAATGGCACTTATTTGCGAGATATAATGGAGAAAGTAATATCTTAGACCTTTGTGTGCGGAAAGTTATTAAACGAAGATGCTTCGAGAAAATAATATAACATGGAATGAAAATTGATTTTATTACCTTTATGCTGGCGGTAGAATTCCCAGATACGTGCTGTTAAAGTATCTATTTCATAGTCTTACTGATGAAGTTGAAATTTATCTGCTACAAGAATTTTAATAAAACCAAACAGGATTTTTTTTATAATAAAATATAATAGACAAATGTTAAATTATTATAATACCTAATATAACGGTATAAGAAATATTATTTGAAAACTGTAAGGTTACATTTTTAAGCGTTGTCAAGCTAACTTTTACTAGAGGGAGACTTTGTACAAAAGTCGATTGCTTGGGTACCTCTGTCCCATTCGTGTTTCAACCGTGAAACAGTTGTGTTTGCATGGCTGTGTTTCGGTTTGAAGGGTGGGATATGGCGTGAATTTAATGGGTACAGAGGAATAACATCTTAGTCCTTAGGAATGGCAACGCATGGGAGGTATCATGGGCGAAACAGTATACTCTGTTATGTCCATGGTACTGCTCATGTCTATAGGCGACGGTTACCACTTTCCATCAGGTGGACCGTCAGCTTGTTTGTCATTCTAAGTTGTATAAAAAAAAGGTATAATCGGAATGGGTTTTTCAAGATTTAGAGATAAGTTAGGAATGGTCTTCGCATTTAATCTAAATATTAATAGTAGAGTTAGAAAAGTAGGTTTTGCTCTGCAAAAAGAAACAACTATTTCAATCTTGACGATACTAACGCTAACTGATTAACTTAATTAATAATTATTTATTTAGAAAAATTTTAATGATCTTTGGACAAATTCAAAATAAAATACGAGCTTTTGAATTTTAAACTTAGAATTTTATGTTAATAAATGGATTACGATACGCAAAGAGGAAAATTTTGTTCTGCAAACAAAAATGTTAGTTTCAACAGCAACTAAATTAATATGAAACCACCATGTGAATGCATTATGCAATGCAGAAAGAATTATTAAAATAATTACAAGTTTAACATGTAATACGGACGTAAAAAGGTACAGGCGAAGTGAGAATCTCTTTGAAAATCGGTTAACAATTGCTTGTAGCGATATGTTTCTACACCAACGTTGTATATGATGAAAGTATCTTATATGAGTATTATAAGTGCCTTTGGATACGGTAAAGTACGTACCAAGGATGCAAGAGAGTTCGTTGAGGGTTTCCTTTTTATAATTTCAAACATTTTTGGGATCCTATTATCCCATAGGGTGTAGATTATATGTATCTATATACATATCTGTAATCGTGGGAGATGCAACATTATCAAATTATTAGATAAAATTTGGCTTTATATTTTTAAAAAGATTTCAAATTTTCGTTATTCAATGAGTTGTATGCAAATAATTTAGTTTCCTCTTCCTTGGGTGTTGTAAGAGACGACTAAGGAATTATAATAGTCGAGGGATGCGTGGCTGCGTCCTTTTTAAAACATCACCATAACCTACCTGCGGTTGCCAACCCGCCTGTCCAGCGTGGCAACTGCCACGGGCAAAACCCCCCAATAGGGGGAGGCATATGTTCAGCAATGAACAGTTAATGGCTGATATTATCATCATCATCAATTTACATTTGTATACATCAGAGACCTCTTATTTGAGACTAGCTTTACGTACAATTGAATCCACGTGACTTTTAAAGTAGTGAACCTGTTTGTAACTATCTTAAAAAGGTACGATGTGAATGCTAAATTTCATAATGTTTCTTATTTATAGTATTAGTACGGATCGATAAAAATGTAGTTGCGTTCAATAAAACAAATTTAGATGCTTCAACACTTTCTAGTGTCGGACGACTTTGCAAATTTACATAGTACCTATACGTTTTACAACTAACTAAATGGTTATTATATTAACGCCTTTATACAATGAAAAGTTTGTGGTCCAAAAATATTTTATTTAAATAAGTGTTTAATAACTGTTCTTGTGCGTAAAATAAGAAGAAGAATTAATCTATGTTTTATTTACTTTAAACAGAATATCGTCATAATGTCAGCAATTTCTATTCACTGCTGAACGTAGGCCTCCACCATAGATTGCTTTATGAACCGATCCTCTGACAACTGCATCCACTGACTTTCTGCAATACATTTGATGTTTTCACTCCATCTAGTGGAGAGTCATCCTATACTGCGTTTGCCTGTACGGGATTGCTACTCAATAACCTTTTATCCGTATCGGTTGTCGATTCTTCAGTTTTAACCTTAGCAGTATATAATATACAATATATTGTATACTACCCGTGTACTAAATTTATTTCTAATTCGTTCAGTCGTTTAAGTATGAAAATGTACTTATTTATAATATTTGTAGAATTATATGTGTAGAGTTACCTATTTACTTTCACGTAGGTCCCCCTATAGCTTACGAGGTCTGTCCGGAAAGTTCGTATAAAAGTGTTCTGGAATGCGAGAAAGAGGAGTGGGGAGGCCAGGTAAGCGCAGGACCCCTTCCTTATGTCCCTAACAATGCTTCAGTTCTGGTCTGACCGCCGTGCGGTGCGAACTGGCTTGTCACGCCATCTGTGAAGTTACCTCTTAACGAAACCCCGTCGGCATGGAGCCCGCTTCCGTTGAAGAGCAGCGCGTCGTAATCAAGTTTCTCTCGAAACTCGGCAAGAATGGCCGTGAAATTTTTGCCGATCTCAGAACAGTTTATGGGGATGATGCTGTGAAGGAACCAACCGTCCACAAGTGGCTAAAAAGATTCAGAGAGGGCCGAGAAAGAGTTCGATGTTCGGGGGATTGTCCATCAAGAATTCGTCCCTCCAGGCCAGACAGTTGATGGAAAATTCTACGTCGATGTGCTCAGACGCCTCAAAGCTCGTGTGGCACGAGTTCGTCCAGAATTGGCGCGAGAGGGGCGTTGGATTCTTCACCACGACAATGCCCCTGCCCACACCTCTCTTGTTGTCCGTGAGTTTTTGAGTAAAAATTCCATTACGGTGACCGAACACCCCCCCTATTCGCCGGATTTGGCCCCGTGTGACTTCTTCTTGTTCCCAAAAACCAAATTGGTACTTCGGGGGCGGCATTTGGGGGACATAAATGAGATAAAAAAAGCTACGACGGGGCAGCTGAGAAACCTACAACCAGAGGACTTTCAAGGAGCCTTCTCACAGTGGAAACGGCGTTGGCACAAGTGCATTATGTCACAGGGGGAGTACTTTGAAGGGGATAAAATTGATTTACCTGAATAATTGTAAAATAAAATTTTTAAAAAACTTTTATACGTACTTTCCGGACAAACCTCGTATATTGTTGCATACTTTTCCTACTTCGTCTACTTTCATAACTCGAAATTACTAATATAATAATTATATACGTAATGAAAATATTGTTACCACTTACCCCCTAACTACGTAATTACCCAACTAGAGCAGCCATAGTGTTGACTTTTGATGTTAACGTAATGTATTTATGCGGCTATAAAGGCTGCGGCCTGACAGGGGGGAGTAAATTGTCAGTAACGGGGACTAGCAGCCCCATTGATTGCAATATACCCACTTAGGTTGACCTTCACACGACACATTCGTGATTAATTCGTGATGGTGGGCCAATTGATGTCAAATTCATCTTCACCTACCATCTTGTACTGATACATTGCCAGTGTGTATATATATCACTACCACAGGTGGGGTTACTATTACATAAAACAATCACTAATTAAATAAAAGAATTGAAACTCAGGTCGAACTCCACATATGCAGACATCGTTGTTAATTCTTCATGAATTCATCACGATGGGCTAACTGACCTGCTTGCCATTTTCAAAACCTGTTGTTATATTCACGATGATGATTTCAAATAAAAGTGTTCTTTATTTAAAATATAAACTTGTTTAGCCATTTAAGCATGAATATAATTGATTATAATATTGAAATATTAAAAAAAAATCATGTTTATAATATGGTTTATTTTTTGATTGGACTTTGTCCGCGTAATTTTATAATTTTTCTATACTCTATATATTGTCTATATAATATACCTATGTTACAATCAAGCCACGCATTTTTATCTATTCTTGTACTATTTTTATATAGCGAAACTGCACGAAAATATGTATCTAATAGAAGAATATCTAAGATACAAGCTAGGCCTAGTTTAGATACTAATGTGCTGGGCATAATGCTACTCTTTATACACATATAATTCACTTTGAAATTTCTGTAAGCCCATGACTGTATATTTTTATGTTATCTAAAACTCACAAACAGTAAAAATATTTAGAAACTGTCATATTAAGATTAATATCACGTATACTACTAGTATATACTCATAAGCCATATTTCGAAAACATTTAATGTATAGTTGTAACATCGTTACGAATTTATTATAATTATGTAAACATATTTATTTTTATTAAGGCTGAGTGATTCCCCCATACTAGAATAATTGACGCAAACCCCAAAAACCTTTTTAATTATTGATTGCCCTAAATTAAAATGCCTTAATTTGCTGTCTGTTTGATGTAAATATATTGAATTCAGCAAACGTGTCTATCAATTACGTATAACGACTCAAATGATTTTCTACATCTCGTATTTCGCTCGAGATCTCTCTAATTACGTTTGTACTCGTATGCTGTGATGTTTTGTGGTAACACGAAATAACTATAAATAGAATTAATTGATTTCATCTGAATTTATAAAGGTGACAAGATAATTAATGGTTTTGTTTCGCAAAAAATATGTCAAGCGTGACAAAATTAATGATTATTTATCTATTATTACTATATACTTATTTTTTGGAAAATATACAGCTTTGTTCAATCAAAATATAGTCATATTACATTTATGTTGAGTTTAGTTTTCACATTTGCTATATAATATGACAATAACGCGCGAGTAAACTCTATCAATTGCAAAAAGAAATCAAATCTTTTAGTTTTTTTATGTAGGTCTATTGTGGATCGAAAGAAAACACAACTTTTGAGCACTTACAATATTTTTATAGAGCATTTAATAAGAAGTACAGATAAATAAGAGAATTCTTAAACAACGACGACGTCATTACAGAATAAAGAGTGTGCGTATACAAATGTAGCCAACATACTAAAAATAATTTTATATTGTTAACATAACAGTCTTCTTGATCAAAATGATCACAATTCGTTTGCATTTTTATGTGCCTATATTTCATAACCTATTAGTAGGTCTTGTCCATAGTGAGTATCTGAGTAGTTTAAAAATTATTAACGTGGTGGTGGGTAATATTAAATTTACATGATGCATACTCAATTAGTTATTCAGAATTACCTTCATATTAACATTATCTTAGTATCTATCAGCAAATATGCAGTATACAGAAAAACTTATATTTATGTTATACTGTATGAATATTATTTTGTCTCATAAATAAAATAAATATACATATAAAATACAAATGAATTCTGATCGTGTTTTTTTTTGTGAGTCGCTTCAAGAGTAGTTCTTTGCTCCTTCGCTTCTTCGCTACGAACCAATTTCTATGGTAATTTTGGGAATCTATTTCTTAGTACTTAGGCTACGTAATAAAAGGATTCAAAATTTAGTTTTTATAACTCTTATAATAAAATTTAAACTGTGAATTGGTAGATTGATTATTGGGCAGAGCAATTTCTTTTATATTACAGATTATTATGTAACAAATAGTAGATAGAAGTCGTTTAGCTGCTTCCTAATAGTATTTACCTCTTTCCATTGTAGTAAGTTACTTCAGTAATTCTTTTCCACGTCTCAAGGGACAGCGACAATTTGCCGATAAAGCTTCAGGCTATTCTTTAATAACGTTCGAAATGGTGTATCGATCACAGCTCCCTTGTGTAGATACTCATATCTTTGTCGAATTGTTGCAATATATCATTTGAGGATTTACATATGTATCTTCGATGTTTTCAATTCAGCGCCACTAGTGTAAAGGGGTCAATCTTGAGTTTAACCAATTTTGTTGTCATTGTGTATCAAGCGAATAATAATTATAATAATTTGGATTGCCAAATCGTGTGGCAACATCTTTTTCCAGAAGTTGCCACGCATGGCAGGCGGGTTGGCAACCGCAGTTAGGTCTTTGGTGATTTAAGAGAAACGCTGCTGCTTATCCCTCGACCATTATGTATGTCTTATTATAATATTATATATTTAATATATTTTATTCACTATATTAATATAGATAGGCAGTAGGTAGTGAATAAATTATAAAAAGGACATAGAAAAATACAAGTTCTTTGTAGGATAAATCTAATCTAGTTTGTTAGAAACTAAAAAACCTTAATTTGTAAATAAACGTATAAAAACTCGTTCATTATTTGTCCATTTGTCTAGAGACTGATGCTCAGTCAATTACCAAGCTTAAAAGCAAAAGAATCTTAGTAAAAAAAAAAAACATAGAATTCTGTATTCGCGGGATTAAGGGTAAATATTTTATTCTTGTCACAAAGGGCCACTCAATCACTCTACCGAAAATTATATTTACTGCTATAAAATTTCGCAGTTGTATATATTTTTAATTCTTTTTCAGGACCTCTCACAAATACCAGTTTCACAACAGCAAAACAAATAAGAAGATGGCCTGTGAAGTTTTATATGACGATGTACATGACTGGCCTGTGAATTACAGTAAGTATTCTTTTCTGCTATTATCATTTACACTTTAAACCAGTATCGTCGAGTAACAATGAGCTAAAGGGAAAAAAATAAAAGTTTATTAATGAAATAAATAACTATCATTTAGTATTAATATGTTTTCTTATTTTAATTTAATATAAAATAATTAGTCTTATACTATATGTGTAAACTCGTTAATTAGTATTCTTTTTTGCTATTATCAATTACCCTTTAAACCAGTATCATCGAGTAACAATGAGCTGACGGGAAAAAAACAAAAGTTTATTAATGAAATAAATATCTGTCATTTAGTATTAAAGTATTTTCTTATTTAATTTAATATAAAATTGTTTGTCTTATACTATAATGTATAAACCTGTTAATTAGTATTATCGGAACGTTTTAGTATACGGCAGATTTTTTTTCACACACTAATATAATATTTTTAATTACCTCGTCAGAAGAATTTTGTAGATATGCTAGATGCTATGCTAAGATCCCTCCATTGATTTCTGCAGGTATAATATCTTTTAATGAAACTTACTTTAAATGAAAGATGATTAAAAATATTATATAATGCACCCGGGTTGCTTGTTCTCAGTTAACCGCGTGAAAATAGATAATAACTTTGTAAATTTAACAAACACATTATGCTTTTTAATAAAATTTACATTAATCGGAAGTTTATTCTTTTTTATACATGATAACAATATGATTGCCTAGAAAAAAGATCGTAAGTAAAGGTTGCTAGCATCTAAACTTTTGTTTTAAATGATAATACTGTTATATAGTTATACGAAATTTTTTTTTTGATAAAATCTACGTTAAATAGTAGCATTTTTCCAATAAAAGGGATCGTAGTTTAATTTTAAAATAATTTAGATTAAAATATAAGCGTTCAACTCTGACTCTACTTAGAATAATAAGCTGTTCCAGAGCCCCTACTCAGTTTAACGTCTGTTAAAGTGTTATCTAGCGACAACAAACTACATAAATGACGTAATGTGCCATCCAGAGCTGAGCAACTACCCAATTTTAGAGCAAACAAATTTTTGTCCGCCATTTCGTACGCGTGGATTATGGAGTAAAAGAATAATTGAAACAGACTACTTTTTAATGGTATATCAATATAAAACATATACCAGTTTTTAGGTTAGACATTCAGAAACAACTATGAAAATCGCCTATAATTTGGTGCAGTAGTTTTTGTGTGATGCCGAAACAAACATATAGACAGACAGATAAAATTTCTAAAAATTATCGTTATATGGCGTGAATTTATTGGATACAGAGGAATAACACCTGAGTCCTCAGGAATGGCAACGCATGGGAGGTATCATGGGTGAAACAGTATACTCTGTTATGTCCATGGTCCTGCTCATGTCTATAGGCGACGGTTACCGCTTTCTGTCAGATGGGCCGTCAGCTTGTTTACCATTCTAAGTTGCATAAAGAAAAAAAAGATAAAGACTACTTTTTATTCCGGTCAGTGAATATACCCCGGTCATGCGGATGTAGTCGCGGGTAAAATTATGAATATATGTACTAATGAAGAAATAAATAAATAAAGCTAATTAGGAATATTATTTGACGTAATTCTATGTCACGGATTTTCTTAAGAGTTCATGCTAGATACATCTTTTATAAGAGGTCTAATTGTCTACTATTATTACTTTGGGCAAGTGGATAGATTATTATGGTATTATTCTTTTCATATTTTCTTTCCTTGTACTGATGTACTTATTATTTTTTCATCTCTTATCCGCCTCTTACAATATCGTAGGGATGAAAAAGAGTGGACACATATTCTTATTTCGTTACCACATCGTAATTGATTGCGAGAAAGAGATTATTAACAATGGGTACTAACGTCTCCAACGTACCCATTGTTAACAATATACCATGTCAAGCGTTCTACTCGCGAATACATCACAATAGGCCAACTTACTTTATTTCATTCGTATTATATACATTTTATTCACCACGGATGCCTCACCATCGTATACCCTTAATATAAGCTAATGGTTTATACTTCACTCGCTTCTTCATAGAAGACTATAAGAAAAAGTATTTGATTATTGACTCACTCGTAAACTTTTTTCTGTAGAACATAGTCACCCCCATAAGGGGGGTTTTGCCAATGGTTACTACGCTTGTCAGGTGGGTTTGCAACCGCAGTTTGGTTTTTGGTAATGTTTTAAGAGGGACTTTACTGCCCATCCCTCCACCATAAGCTCCCTCACTCGCCTCATACGACACACAAGGGAAAGGAAAGGATAGCCTATTCTATACTGGAACTTATACGGCATTGTATATACAATATCATTTAAACTTTCATATTTAGTTCTACTGTTATTCATTATCATCATCATATCAGGCTTTAACTGCTAAACACTGCTGAACATAAGCCTTCCCCTTGGGGAGTTTTGCCAATAGTTGCCGCGCTTGGCAGGCAGATGACAATCGCAGTTAGGCTTTACAGATGTTTTAAGAGGGGCACTGCTGCCCATCCTTCGCCCTCCCTTAGTCGACTCTCTACTGTCATTATTTTTGAATAATTTTGTTATTTATACATGCGATCAGTTTCAATAGAAGCTATCCTTAGGCGTATTTATGTATACAATATTATGTATATACATGAGTTTTATGAAGAAATCACAACAAATAGTAAATTATGCGTAATATTAAATATAATTTAATTACAATATAATTAATAATTAATTAATTATAAATAATTAAGTATTAATATAATTAATAATTAAGTAATTTTATCTGTCCATTTACAGAAAAAATATTTTGTCAGTATGAAATAATATATTTCCCTGGAACAATATGTTCGTACAATATTTCAAATATTTCATGAAATTAAACTATAGTATTTGTTGGCATTCTGTTAGTTGTAAAGCTCGGAATTTGGTACGTGTACCCTATTACCCCGGGAACTTTCACCTTAATACTTTCTGACATTTAGTGGTTTATAAAAATGTACTGTTACAAAATTAAAGAAAAAATATTATATGAAAATTAAATACTTTTAAAAAATACATTTCTTTAGTAAGAATATAAGGAATAGATATATGATTTCTTTATTTATTTGTAACATATATTTTTTATATATACGTTCGAATAATTAACTCCGGAAAGTCCGAATGAGAGCTAAGTGTAAAAAAGAATAACAATGGGCATAAAAATAACAAATAAAATAAAATAATTATAATTATTTTGTTAATTGTTCTAATAAACAACATAAATTTTATATAATTGATAAGATAAAGAAAATATATTTTAATGTAATAACTACCAGTTTAACTTATGTGGAATTAGATTGAAGAAGCTTAACTAGTTTTGGGATCAATTAGAGACCTTTAATCATGAGCGGCTGTGCCGCGAGCGCGAACCTGACTGCGCGCCTCGGCTCGTTGAGCACAAGCTGTACGCGCTCGCGTAAAGAAAACCGATAGTTATTACATTAAAATATAATGTGTGTTTACGAAAATATCTTTATTTTTGATATTTATTATATAATCTCGATAAGAAAAGAAATGGACTTTGTAGGTGGCGGTAGAAGGCACAATAACGTTTGCCGTTTCAGCTGTTTGGTATATATATTTATGTGTTCTTATGAAACAATAACTCAACTTTAACATAGTCGCGTTCTGCTCGGCTGTGTACATTTTTGCTCCTTGAATTCCGAGAGCGCCTTGGAATTTGATGTAGGTAAATAATTTATCATTTCGAAGAGAATGGAAAGTGTTACCCGCTGTTCGTGCCAAGTGTGTAATAAAACATTCATCTGGACATCAGCCGTGTGAAGGTAGAGCAAGATCAGAAATGTTACATTTAAAAATATTTATTACTTTATTCTACCCGCGACTTTGTCTGCGTGAGCCTATGTGTTCTTCGTCCCATATAGTACTTTTATAGTGATTGTTTAAAAAGTTAAGACGCCAAGGGGTAACAAATAAATTTAATTTCACATTAGTTTAATATTAGTAATGACTAGTTTTAACCTGCAACTTTTTTCCCGTGATTGGGATAAAAAAGCCTTCTATTCCAACGCACATTATACCTGTGTATAATAATCGATTAACTCGCTAAGAGATAACAACTAAACGGTTATTAAGGATGTTTCAGGACTATTAATATTTTGAAGGAGGACTATTTTCAGGCAGAAAAACCTGTGACATACTACCATGATCTTCTATGTTCCCTTTTTTTTTTCAAGTTCGCTGCTAATTCCTAACGATGATAGAAATTTCAAGATGTTTTTTGTAGCGATGTTTCTTATGTCCTTAAAATATAAAGTGTATTTTCCAAGGATTTTTTGTCGTCTTTTGATACATGTTTTTTTGGATAAATATTTAGCTTCACATTTAGAACAGTCCCTTAAAAAGATACTAACTCACCTCGTGTGCTGGTAATAGAAGTTTCGGCATAGAGCTTTTAAAATCCATAGGATTATATCAGAACCCTTTCAGCCTAAAACGATTTTCATCTAAATCGAATTATAATAATAAGACTAGCGGCTTATTGCGTACAGGAAAATATTCATATTACAAGAAATATGGATTTATTCTTGTCTTGTTATGGATTCAGAATTATGTTAAATATTTGGATGTAAATCTTGCCGCAACTGCATGTATTTTTTGTTGATTATTTGTTTATGTTTGCTTCAATTCGGTATATAAATTCTCAAATTAAAATATCAATTTGGGTTGACAAGAATATAAACATAAATAAATTAATATAATCGATTATGATTACGATTTAGCTATCGATACGGGTATAATATATACACATAGATACAAATAGCATTGTATCGACTATTCGATTAATTAACGTAAAATAATACTATCGATAAACCAATCGATATTTAAGGTAATTACTATTGATAGTGTTCATAATAAATATACTTAATTTAATTATTAGATTAATAGGCAATTCTGGGGTTTTTAATTGATGATAATTGATTAGTAACCCTGCCTGCACTAATGGTGTACACTGGAGGTGCA